ATGTCATGTGACTTGAGCAGCAAATGATGGGTTTGCAGCTTAGAACAGAAATACCTAATGAGTTTTTGAGCTTCCTGAATTCCAAAGCTGGCCATTTAATTGCTGTGCAAAGATAACAACTGCCTCAATACCCTGATTAAAATGGAACAAAACATATTTATAATAATAGTTTATTCTAAGTCTGGGGATGAAAATGCCTTTCTGCTGTCAAGTAGTCATCACCCACTGCAAGTAATTAGCAACTTGCCTTGCACTGGTTTGAAAGATACTACTACAATGTATGCACATAGTAGGATTTTTAGGATAAAAGACTGAAAATTGAATAGAAACTCCTGAAAAGAAACAATAAATGTATTTTCCATCTGAAAGCTAGTGACTTTTTAGAGAAAATGTATAAGAGTGGCTGATTTCCCAGATTGTTTGCTACAGAATAACCTTGAAACACTTCACAAATGAAGTTTTTCACTGCAGTACAATTATATGTAGTACAATTTAGTACAGTCAATACAAAATAGTACAGTTAATGTAGTACAATTATATACCTGAACAGTGTTAGTTATTTCCTGCTCTCAGATAGTCTCTTGGTTGATTCTTTTTGACCACATATGTTTCTTAAGTCTTAGGCCACATTTTAATTTTTCTCTTCATTATGTAGACGAAACTTATAAAGAAAGCCTTTTCCAGCTTAACTAAGGGGACAAATCAGGTTTTTACATTTTAACATGGAACAGCAGTCACTGGTTTCAGACCATGTTTGTTCAAACACATTATGATGTGGTCTCATAGTATGAACTCAGCCCCAAATCAAGAACCTCTGACTTCTGATCATAACCTTCACTGAGTCACTGCCAGGCTCTTTGGTAGTTTCATGGAGCAATATTCTGTATCAAGTGGACAGCAATACTACTATCAACACACATGACAAAAATACCCTTTGAAGACTCATTAATTAATATTTGCATAGTATTTGAAAGGTAAATATATTACGCTTTATTAATAGTGTGTATTTATTAGATTTCTGTTTAATCCAAACAGTTTATGAATCTACAGTAACTTTGCCTTTTGGCTAAAAGTACTTGCAATACCTTTAAAACAGTAATGATGAAATGACTAATGACAGGCAGTTGCCTAGATGCTCCTTGTTTTCAAATACCTGGGTCTCTGTAATGGCTCCTGCAAGAAAATGTCAACAGAAATAATACAAATAATTAGTGTTCGGTTAAAAGATTTATCTTATCTTTGAAATGGCAGGACTAGATGAAGTATTTATTTATCAGTTGAAAACATTATTACATGTAGCTCTCCAACCAGTAAACTTTCCCTGGCCTATGGAATGATGACCATGGTAATCAGTTTTGTCTAACAGATGCAAACTGTGGTGTGAGTTGTAGTAGTAAGTACTGTAACACAAATGCCTAAATTTTACACATATTTCAGCATGACTTGGAAGGACCAAGAGTTTATTTGTAGACTTAGAATCATGCAATGACTAGAAGTATTTCTTGCAATGGTAGCCTGAAAGACATAAGACCACAAGAGGAGATAGGATTCAGGAAATTTAAGAAAGATAGAAAGATTACTAATTATGCAGAAGGAGGAAGCATTGTGCGAATAATTGAATTTGAAGAAAAATGAGAAAGAGAGCATCCATGTGTAGAGGCCAGCAGTAAGAAAGGCAAAGGCTGAGGTATCACCAGAGAAGCTAGGCTACCTATTTTTTAAGTCTATTTTTTTTGCAAGAAAGCATGTTTAAATATGCTGCAGATAGGAGACGATTAATAAGCCAGGCTGAACTGGGATGGAACTGCTGCTGGAAATTCTTACACACATCTTTTTTTCACTGTAGTATTTCAAGAGAAAGAGTGTAATCAGAATTACCAGCTTGTGTGTAAGCTACATACACATAACTGTGTATGTATAAAGGCATAAATTGTCAACAGTGCTGTCAGAACACAGCGTATTTTGAATAGACGGGAATTCATTAAGGTACAATTTTCAAAGTAATTAGCTAAAAATATCCCAATTTATCAGAAACAGATATTCCAAGTAAGTATTCAGTGTCAGATACTAAATGGTGCTTCAGTGCCTAAGTTTCATGTTTCAGTAGAAGAGTAAAGGCTTGTGCATACCAAGTGTGTTATTTTTCCCAAGTTTAGCTAATTCCCACTGAAGTCACCTGTGTTCATGCAAACTGAAGGCATCCATTAATGGGAAATGAGGGAATTCAAATTTGAATGCATGTGGTATGTCTGCAAAGGGACTTTGACCAGCTGGAGAAATGGACCAAAAGGAACCTCATGCAGTTCAACAAGGGGAAGTGCAGAGTCCTGCACCTTGGGAGGAACAGCCCCAGGCACCAGTATGTGCTGCGGGTGACCAGCTGGAAAGCAGCTTTGCAGGAAAGGACCTGGGAGTCCTGGTGGTCACCAAGTTGAACACAAGTCAACAATGTGCCCTTGTTGGGAGGTTTAACAGCATCCTGGGCTGCATTAGGAGTGCTGCCAGGAGGTCAACAAAAGTGATCCTTGTCTTCTGCTCAGCACTGGGGAGGCCACACCTGGAGCACAGGGTCCAGTTCTGGGCCTCCTAGCACAAGAGAGATATGGAGATGTGGGGGAACAGTCCAATGAAGGACCACTAAGATAATTAAGGGACTGGAACTTCTCTCCTATTAGGAATGTCTGGGAGAGCTGGGACTGCCTGGAAAAGGAAAGGCTCAGGGGAGGTCCCATAAATGTCTAGAAATACCTGCAGGGAGGGTGCAGAGGGGATGGGGCCAGGCTCTTTCACTGTTGCCCAGTGCCAGGACCAGAGGCAGGGGACACAAACTAAAACATAGCAGTGCCCCACTGAAAATCAGGAAGCACTTTTTCATTGTAAGGGTGACCAAATACTGGCAGAAGTTTTCCAGAGGATGTAGAGTCTCTGTCCTTGGAGATGTTCAAAAGCAGAACGGACATGGTCCTGGGCAGCCTGCTGTGGGTGACCCTGCTTGAGCAGGGAGAATGGACAAGATGACTTCCAGAGGGGCCTTCCAATATTAGCCATTCTGTGATATGGTGTGTTGGTATACATCAAAAAGTCTTAAATCCTACTTAAATCAATACATTCATCTCGGAACTAGGGTTCAGTGTCTGCCTTGCATAACAACAGCAGCAGTACAGGTGTTTGCCTTAGTTCAGGGTACAGACTGGGAGTTGTCTGAATATGCCTCTGTTTTGCATACAACTCAGTAGCCCACCGGTTTCCCTCTCACCTCATTTTTTTGTCCAGATTAATTACTCATTTATCTATTCCGTTCTGGGGTGGTACACATTAGATGTGACATCAGATGTTGCAAACAGCCACAATTATGCCATATGTACTATTCAATGATAATGTAACACCACATTACTACAGTTTGTTTCGTGACGTACTGGGTGCCAGGCAGAAATCTTGGCCAGATGCACATTCAGCAGTATCTTAATATGTATTGCTAAAAGAATGGCTAAGACGTCCTGACCAGTTCATGCTTCAATGACAGCTCAAGTCTGAAAAGTAGCACCAAGAAAGATCAAAGCTGTTAAAATCCCTGCCAGAACCAGTCAGTGCTACAGATGCTGACTTGCAGTGCTGAAGCCTTCAGCTGTGCAATGTCTAGCACATCTCTGTGAGCACCCAAGTGCTTACAAGGACAAGCAGCATGTAACGGTCTTCTGTCCGTGTTGGACAGTGACAACTTAAAATCAGCACTAGCTACTCAGAAAGACTTGTAGGAGGGAAACCATGCCCATTGGTGAGTTTGAACTCATGTTCAAGAATTTCAGTCATTTTTGGCTGGCTTCCAGCCCATACCTGATAGCATAGTGTAGGAAAAATCCTTCCTAGAAGTGAGGTTCCAAACCAAGACTCTGTGAGGATATAACATGCACTTGAGAAGTTTAATATGGGAGAGAATCCCTTTGTGTAGAACAGGATTTCAGATGGACTCTATTCTGTGGCTCAACAGACTCACACAGAGTGATCCCTCATCTCAGTAAGTCCTCTGTCCTACAGGAAGTCTAGCTCATGGGGCCTGAGACTAAGTTTAGAAGATATTAAAATTCTGATGTTCCTTCAGTGTGTCATGAGAATAAAGGGGAGAATAAAGAGCAGAAAGCAGTAAATAACAATATTCCTGAATCTAGAGCTGAAAATTCTGCTGATGTTTAGAAAAGGAATATTCAGATTACTTTAGCCTTTTTCTTTCAAGCTTCTGCCTTGAGTGAGTCAGAGAAAGGAAGATTTGGACAGCCAACTGCTACAGATGGAGGTAATCTGGTATATTGAACTGTCAGCCATTAGGTGGGCTAACAATCACCATGCAATTGTGAAGTAAATTAGCTAGATCAAGAGAGCACTTGTAAAATTTACTGATTTTATTTCTCATTTGTGAAGGTAATGTGGTTCAGGCAGGGAACCGTACCTCCCTAGCCCACAGTAGTAAAATAGCCCCCATCTCTGCAGTGAAGGATGCAGAGTATCAGTGAAAAATAATTCAGAGGGACTTTGTTTAAAATAGGGTTACAAAATTCAATAAAGAAAAGCAGTGAGGCTGCAAACACATTACTTGGCATTCTTTCAATATTTTAACCCCAAATTGTCTTAAGAAAATATAGTCAACCCCCGCCCAGTTCCACCTCCCCGCCCAGTTCCACCTCCCCACCTCGCGGGCTGGCCGAGTCCCCCGAAAAGGAAGAGAAGGGGGAGGAAGAAAGGGAGGCGGCGACCGACGAGCGGCAGGGCCGCTGATGGCCAATGGCGGGAGCCCCTCCTGCCCCTTGCCGGTGAGTGCGGGTGCGGCGCCTTTCCTCGAGGCTAGTGGTACTCGCACCCTCGAGGGCCGGCCTCCCCCGCCGCGGGAGAGCTGTGACGGGGGCGGTGTCGCTCCACACCACTCTCCCCGCGCCCGCTGGGTGCAGGCGCCTCCCCTTGGAGGACCATCTCCAGCTCCCTGCGCTCGCAGCCTGTGAACGAGAGCGGGCTGGCCCCGAGGCGGTGGCATGTCGGCGGAGCGCGTATGGAGGTAACGTTTGGGGCGGGTGTCTCCTCCGCGCCATATCCCCGGGCCCTGCGGGGCACAGTGTCCAGACCCCGCGGGCTGGCTGCCGGTTCACTGCCGGCTTCGCCGGATGCCCCTCCGCGAAGTTGTGTGCGAGCCGTTGCGGAGGCTCCTGAGCCGCCGCCGGCACAGCCCAGCAGGCCTGGCTCGGGAGCACGGCTGGAGCTGGAGGCTGCCCGGTCCAGGTGCAGCAACGCTGCCGAACTCGTCCCCCAGCACACGGGCGTGTCCCGATCCTCCCGCCGCGTGGGGGTCCGTCTCTGGGTTTGTTGTGTGGTGTTTCTTTGGGTTTTGCGTTGTTTTTCTTCTTTGCTGGCTCACCTAGCATCTGCCTGCCTCAGATGGTGCGGTGCCTACCTCAGCCCTTCAACTGCTTGGGATTATTCCTCATTCCCCCTCCCGGAGTTTTTCGGTGCGACATTGTTGCCCTCTAGTGTTTGCAGACATACTGTAATGGGGAACAAAATTGGTCATCGCAGTGCAGTAAACTTAAGGTGTTTATAGCTACGTGGATTTCCAGTATCCCGTGCAGAAATTGATGTGTTTTACTGCTAGCTTCAGCTGTCATATGTAGCCTTTGGAAGATGCCAGAAAACTTTCGTATTAGTTAATTCATCACTTGATGTTCTATATAATTGTTTCACGTTTTGGTGTGGTGTCTTTATTTCTTTTTTAACAAAATGGAAAGTGAGATAAATCTGGCAGCGTCACCACTCACTTCCTGAGAGACCACTCGGAGCTCTGGGAAGGAATGGTGGCAAACTCCACCTTATTAACTCTGCACTTGGCTTGTGCTTGGGAGCTGTAGGAGGAAAGAGAGGGAAAAGTAGTGGTTTGGCCATGGACAACAGAATATGTTGTATATTTATCTTAAAGGTCTTGAGCAAATCGTGAAGTCTTCAGATGATGTTTCTGCAAATGATGAAAAATAATTGGAGGGGGTAATGAATGAGAAATTGTAGAAGATGCAGAATTGCATGATATGTAATGTGTTTTAATATCTTTCAATATAAAGTATTGTATGAAGGTAAAATAGTAATTTGAAGACCAAATCCAACTTCTGTACTCTGTTAAAGTCTTACAAGTAGTCTTTTAAAATATTTTAAAATATCATAAATTTAATATTTATATGCATCTTTTCATGACAAATTCTGAGGAATTGATTTCTGTCCCATAAGATTCAGTAGTAATGTGTGAAGCAATACAATATGGATCTAACGATATCATAGGTACAATGGAAAGGAAATCCGCTTGCACCAAGGACTTGAAAGACCAGATCTATTTAGAGCATATCTATCATATCTCATATCTAGAATTCTTGTTCTGCCTAAACTGTTCTTTGAAAAACAAAAACAAACAAAACAAACCCAAATAAAACCGAACATATGCCACAGAATTTAAGCCCTTCAATATTCACACATTCCAAGGTTTGTTATCTGATGTTAAACAGTCTCAACAGTTTCCCTGGGCAGTACATGTCTCATATCGCAATCTGTTCAAGTCATAAGTTCTCATGCTCAGCCTGGATTTGCCTTTATGAGCTATCACTGCTTAAATACATCAGTCAGTAAAATAACATTGTAAGCAGGTATACTCAGTTTTTAGAGACCAGTTTCACGTTTTCATAGCTGATTTCAAAATCCAACCACTACTCTCCATCCTAGGTTTGGTTGTTTCCAAATGCACTTCGTTGCTTCCAAGTCATCTGTATATCAAAAGATATTAAAAATATGTTCAGGTATATGTAACCAGGCAAATATAATATAGCTGAAGAATACTGATGACTAATCGATCCTGAGCTAGCTCTGGGTTTTGGCAGTTCTTCATATAAAGGATTTTTGTTATGCCACGTGTAGCAAAACCACATTTTTTTATGTCTGTGTGTAAGTATGATACAACTTCATTGTTTCTAATCAAGGGTCATGGTAAACAGTTACCCTTGCACAGGCTTGAGGTAAGGCTAAGCCAGATATTTTTTTACTGGGCTTTGAAAATGTGATTTGAGAGCAATTTCTCATTTGCTTGTGGATATTTGGGCTCATCTCATTGTTTTAATCTTGATAATTTTTAAAACAACTGAATTAAAGAAGAATGTTTCTTGTCGTTTTAGGAGTCTTTTTGATACTCATAATACAGCTTTAGTAATTTTTTTTTATTGTATGCAATTTTATGTGTTTGTTTTTATGTGAGTACCTGGCTTCCTATTTAAGTATTCATTACTGTATGAAGATGTGAACTTGAAAGTGACTTAATTTGAGGGTGGGGTTTTAGCTGCAGTACCTTGAATCCCAGTTATAAAACTGAATGGTCAGAACCACGTTTATTTTCAATTGCTGAGTCCAGAAAACAGTATGTTTCTGCTGCGTGGAAAAGCCAGTCACGCAAAGCCTTGGCTGTGTGCACCGTGGAAGTCTCACTGCAAGCAAATGTACCAAGGAGGGCACAGTATTTGCTCTGCGAGTGCCATGGCAACCCTGCAGACACTGCAAGTAGCTGCCCATGAGTCTGAGTCCAGGGACTGGTTTGCAGGCTGGCTGCTTTGGTGTTTATCATATAAACTTTACTGCCAGAAAATACAAAAAGTCAAGAATTATAGTTCCACATTCTTTATGTTCACTTTCTGTGTCTTATTAATAGACTATATCCCCAGCCAGTGTTACCTCATGTGAGTATTGCCATTAGGATTATTGGGCTGAAGTGATTTATAGAAGCCAAGAGTTTGGTCATTTATGTGTAGCAATGAAACAAAAAACTAAAGAAAGCTGTAAATGGTAGGAACTCAGAAAACTCCACTGTCAAGTTTGGTGCGTGGTGACTTATTGTAGCATAGTGTTGTAAGATACCAGTGGAATACCTAGCAAGTACTGTTGCTCAGAGTAAAGTGTTGCTTTCCTGGGGGAACAGCAGCTACTTCATCAAGGCTTTGAAACTATTTTGATATTTTTACATGCACGTTTTCTTTGTATTTTTAATTTTTTTAATGTTCTTTTGACCTCTTGCCATGCAAAACAGTTCTTAAATAAGTGAAAATTACATAAGCATCAAGATCATTCAAGACGGCATGCATTTAAAACGTGTGCCTTACTCTGTTCCATTCCCCTACCTTCCTGTCTTCAGTGGTGAGGACACCAAGTCTAGCTGTGTCCTGCTGGGGGAGGATTCCTCACTTTTCAGAGTCAAACTTGCATCTGTCTTAGCATTTTCAGCCATTTCTCCTTACAGCTGCTCTCTGTTGACCCAGGAGGTACCAGCAACTAGGAAGCACGGATAAAATGACAGAGGTTTTCTAGAAAAAAATACAGGTTTCAGGGCTGGCTCCAGATTTTCTGCTCTATGGATCGGCATTAGGAGCTATGTCCTTGCTGCAAATATTTTAAGTGTTCTTGCTGCTTACTTTAGTAGACCTGTGGTTGCACCCCTTCAGTCATAACTCATCCAAACAGTTCTAGCTAATCAGCCCTTCCTTGTTATGAGCTTAGGTCACTGTAAATTTTTCATACTGAAGGCAGGATTCTCAAGTTCAAGTGACTGTCAGAAGTGTAGGCTGGTAAAGAAATGCCTAGATTATGCTGCTGGGAACTCCCTCTCAATATGACAGAAACCACCAAAGTCCTAAGAATAGGGGTGTTTTGGATCTGTGTTAGAGGAGCTTAAGGCTAAAAGAAGCAGATGAGCATTGTGCTTGTTGATCATGTGGTGGTTGACTTTGTGTCATTCAAAAAGTAATACTTTTGTCAGCAGGAATTCTGCTTTGCAGACTCACATCTCTTGGGTGAACCAGCCCTGAGCTCTGTGAGGTAAGCAAGTCAGGTCTGTGGTTACTGAAGATAAAAGCAGACATATGTACGGCTTGTCTACAGAATGCAGTATTTATTTTAGCCGCTAAAATTGGGAGTTTCTTGGCATTCAGACAGCTGAATTGGAAATACAAAATGAAGAGAAGCCTTTGTATGTGCAATGTAAAATCATTTGTCTGGAAGCATCTCTTTGGTATTACTCATTCAGGATGGGGCTCCTTCCTTTTCACCTGGCTTCTTACCATGTTAGGTATCTCTCTTCTACTATCTAAACTGTTATTCTTGAAGGTAGTGTGACCAAGATCAGACACCTCCATACTTAAAAAGGTTTTTTGAGTTCTTCTACAGGTATTTTCAGATTGTTGTTCAGTCTTTGTATGTTCTTTTCGGATCCATGCCTCTAGGAAACTGAGAAACTTGTTAGTATGTGTTGTGTGTTTGGTTTTTGGAGGGGTTTTTTGTTTGTTTTTGTTGTCGTTGGGTTTTGTGGGTTTTGTTTTGTTTTCTTTTTTGCTCGGTTGTCTTTTCAGGGGTTTTTGTTTGGTTGTGGTTTTGTTGTTTGGTTTGGGTTTGTCTAGCACAGATTAATGACCCTCTCTGCCTGGGTGCAAGGCAAAACTCCTGAAAGTCCTTTCTAAAACCTGTGTGCAGCTTCAAGAAAGGTTCAAGGCTGGGTGTAAGTCTACTGAGAACAGAAAGGGTTAATACACTGAGAGTAGAGGTGAAGAGAGTAGAACATTTAGATTGGATATAAGGAAGAAGTTCTTTACTGTAAGAGTGGTAAGGCACTGGAATGGGTTGCCCAGGAAGGTTGTGAAAGCTCCATCCCTGTCAGTGTTCAAGGCCAGGTTGGACAGAGACTTGGGTGGCATGGTTTGGTGTGAGGTGTCCCTGCCCGTGACAGGGGGGTTGGAACTAGATGATCTTAAGGTCCTTTCCAACCCTATGATTCTGTTCTAACATATCCAGAAAGCACGGTTGTCTGATGAGATGCAAGTTTGAAGGGGATCTTAATTATGAATGAGACAGCTTATGTATACTTACTCTTGGTGCTTAAATTTGCTGGTTTGATAACTAGGGTGCTGTGTAGTTTCTCTCTTTCCCCCTTATCTGTTTTTCCTACTCATGTATTTTTACTGTGTGCTCATTATGGCACTGGGAGGATCAGTGTTTGGGATTTAGTTAAAGCTGTGGGAGTTACATAGGTGCTGTTATGTGCATAACATTTTAAACTTTAAAACCTTGATTGAAAGACCACCTTCCTTATATTGTAGGATGAGAAGCTTTTGTCAAGTGGTTAAATGGCCCAAATACCTGACATGTTGTTTGGTTTTGTCCTCTGCCTTTCCCTTCTCTCCCCCTTTTATTACTATGTAATTAATCTTTTTATATACTGTAGTTTATTTTGGATCAGAAGCTGACTTTATTTCTTCTATTATGATCTGCTCCCTGATTCACTACTGAAGGTTGTGAGCCATTTTAGGAATCAACATTTCTAACATTCCCCAGTAAACCTTAGAAAGTACAAAACATTGGATAGAGCTTGAGTAGATACCATTTGTTAGCCATGATCTCTCAAGAAAATTTAATATTCTGTCAATCAGTACAGTGTATTTGATACTGGTTACTGGATACTGGAGCTTTTTGGTATTGACCTTTTAAGTCCTATTTCATTACCTTAAAAAAAAAAAAAAACGCACCAAAAAATAACCCCAAAGAAACCAAAACAACAACAACAAAAAACAAAAACCTAACAAACCAAAGAACCAAGCAGTTGAGCATGGAAGCATTAGGTGCTTAGCTGGGAAATGGCCCTGTTAACATTACATAAAGAGCTTATCCTTGTCCAGTTAACAAACGGTTGTGTACTACATTTGAAGTTACATTAGCATGTTCTAAATCTTTATACACTCAAGTATTTTTCATGCTCTTTGTAGTTTTCAAAATGTATTTTTAATTTTCCTTTTAACTTACATTACTTAATTATTTGATATCTGTCACATCGTTCAGTTGTTTTACTAGAAACTTTTGACAGCGTTTGTACTGTTTGATTGAAAAAATGCTGTCTTCCTTAGGTACAAGTTAAAGCCTAAGTATATCATTAGACGATCTGCGCATTAAGTTAGCTTTTGATTTATTACTCTCTTTGCTTAAATTTAAGAGCGGGATTATTTTATTGCTTTTTTAATAAAGAAGTAATTCACACTATCTGCAAAACAGTACACGGTCCAGTGAAATGTTATTTATTTACTTTTAATGTGTGGGGGGGGGAAGTGTAGTTTTTGTTTCAAAAATACTCCTATAATACACATAATACAGGGTTTACCAGTATGCAGCTGTACATACTGATAGGTACACACCAGGTGAAACATACGTGTTTTGAGCACTTCTTGGTTCTTCAAAACTTAATGTAAGAAAATTTGTTTAATCATGTAGACTGATGTTCCCCCAGCTGTTTGGGGTGAAGAAGGAAGATTTTAAATTTTCTTCAATGCTTAGGTTGTCGCGAATTGTCTATTGGGAGTTTACTTTTATCTTTGGGGAAAAAAAAAAGCAGGGAGTTCTTTGCTGCCATATCTTGTATTTCAGTGCCTCCTGTGCCTGCCCTCTTTTACTTGATCTTCTGGGGTAAGGAGCCTGTGAGATTTAGAGACATTCAAGAAAACGTGGCAGCTAATGGGAGCAGGAAGAAATAATGCTACTAATGCAGAATTTAAAAAATAAATTATCGAAGTCTTGAACTGTTTGTTTCTAAACCTCTGCCTGGCAGTGATTTTTTTGCTCACCATTACTCTAAGTGTGATGATACTTTCAAGAGGTGGGATGCCTCAATTAAATCTCTGATTTTCTTTTCTTTTAGACTATACCTTCTGTAAAGCTTTGTGGAAGATAGAGGTGTGTGCTGCAATGGTTACATAAATACCTCAGAGGACTGGAACAAGTTGTCGAGAATCTGTGTTTGTTTTTAATGCTGCTGTCAAGAACAATCTAAGGCAAGTAAACAACATGAGTTTTATCCTGAAACTTCACAGACATTTTCAAAGGACAGTTATTTTGCTGGCCACTTTTTGTATGGTGAGCATAGTTATTTCTGCATATTACTTGTATAATGGCTACAAACAGGAAAATGAACTTCCTGAAATCTCTTCAGAAGTGGAATGTGGTGATCCTCAACTGTTGCCATACAAGCTGATGGAGATGAAGACTATGAAGTCCATTGACCCCCTGAGGACAGACCTTGTAGTGCTAGTGTTTGTGGAAAGTCAGTATTCAGCACTAGGCCAAGATATAATAACCATTTTAGAATCTAGCAGATTTCAGTTTCACATTGAGATTGCACCTGGGAAAGGTGACCTCCCAGTGCTTATAGACAAAAATAAAGGCAAATACGCTCTCATAGTATATGAAAATATTCTAAAGTATGTGAACATGGACTCCTGGAACAGAGGCCTTCTAGATAAGTACTGTATAGAGTATGGTGTAGGTGTTATTGGATTTCACAAAGGTAATGAGAACAGCTTGCAGAGCTCTCAGTTGAAGGGCTTTCCTTTCCATGTCCACAGCAATCTGGGTATAAAGGACTGTTGCATTAACCCTCATTCCCCACTGCTTCATGTGACTAAATCTTCTAAGCTCGAGAAAGGTTCCTTGCTTGGAAATGACTGGGCAGTTTTCCATATTAATCATACGACTTATCAACCAGTGATATTTGCTAAAGTAAAGACAGCAGAAAACCTTTCACCACCTGCTGCTATAAGTGCTCTCTATGCCACGGTAATTCATGACCTGGGGCTCCACGATGGGATTCAGCGAGTCCTTTTCGGCAATAACTTGAATTTTTGGCTGCACAGGCTGATTTTCATAGATGCTGTCTCTTTCCTGTCTGGCAAGAGGCTCAGACTGTCCTTGGATAGGTATGTTCTGGTTGACATCGATGACATCTTTGTTGGGAAGGACGGAACAAGAATGAACACCAATGATGTACAGGTAAAGTATGCACACAAACTAATGGTCACTACAGCAAAGTGCCATTTTTTTTAATCTTAAAGTGAACAGTTATTAATAGTTGGAGCTCATACAGGATGCATATCAGTAAGTACTAATGCAAACTGTTTGGGCCTTGAGAGAGAAGGCTGGCTGGCTGGCTTTGAGTGGTCACCAATTCCAGGTGTAGTAGCTCTGATTATAGGAGTGTTTATGCAGTGTTGCTTGTACCTGTATAAGAAAAGAATTGTAAGATAAAATGACTCACTGGTTACTACCACTTGTTTTCTCTCTAGTGACATATGAAAGTCCCTGCTGATATAAGTTCTATAAACAGGTTGCTGGGCACCTCTGAATTCCATTCTCCTTACTATATATGGAAAACGGTTTCCCAAAAAGGAAACTGAAGACAACTAGTTTCTAAGTAACGGATAAAGAAAAGGGGTAAGAGTGGTAGTGTTTTCACACATTATAACCCACCCAACATGCACAATTCTAAACATAATTGCAGCATACTTAATTTTCTGGTCTGATCATAGCTTCTGTCTAATCACATGCTTCAGTGGCAGTTAAAAACAGCACAGGACTTCAGAGCTGGACCCAAGAGCTATTTGTATGTAATGTGCATGTTGCTAGTCTTACAAGCAGGAGGTAAATGTGATGAGCAAAAGTAAATGTCAACCTAAATTTTGAAGAATAGACTGTATTATTAGCAGTTTGAAATAGGTTTCAGATGTCAAGAGCTGGCTGCAGCATTTCACCTTTCTTATCTGTTTTATGGCTCTTGCTTGCAAGGAAGGTTTGTGTTAATATTTTAAGTTTGTTCTGTCGCTAAATGACTTGTCAGTTTCTATTTTAACATTTTAAATTGCACATTCCTGAAGGTCACTTTTCTCTTTATTGTGCTGTTCAAGTGTGGGGGTAGTTATGGGTCAGCAGGGGAACATCTTAGGGCTATTTTGCGCTGTATACCTTGCCCTTCTTTTGTGAAGGGCACAGCTACAAAGCAGATAGTTAGAAGTCACCTTGCACAACTGTACTTGGTGTTGAAGCTATAAATGGGTAAGTTGCTGGTTGTTGCTCTGTTTGTGCTAAAAAAAGGGAGAATGTTTTGTTAGTACTTTCAGACTGGAAAGAGGAAAGGCAACGGCAGTGCTGCATGCAGTTTTGATGGTCAGTTTTTTGTTTCATTTTCAGTGTTAATATATTAGTCAAGCTGAAGTAACCCTGCATATATATTGCTTCCTGAAACAAAAGGTTTGGACTTCTTTACAGTTTAATTTGCTTTAACATTGGAGCATACACTTTTCCAAAACATTCTCTGCACATGCAATCATAAATAAGATATATCTTCTAGATAAGTAGGTGTTTTCCTTATGCAAACAAATTGCACAGGAGAGAGCTGGAATAAAAGTGAAACTCAATAAATGAAGTTTCAGTGTGGAACATGATGGCAGCATTTGAGTTAGGAGGGTGAGCATGTTTTGAGAATTTATTAACTGAAACTCATAGGAAAGAAATAATGACCCACACCACTGTCAAAGCTCCTGTTGTTCTGTGGTTTCTGGTAACAAAATACGTAAAATACAAATATGAATAAATCTCTCGCTGTGTTATGCAGTAGCAGTTTGAAAGAATATTTTTAGTATTGTTTCTCTTTGTGAATGACACCTTAGGGTTGTCCTTTTAGGATAAGTTAGGATAATTAATTGCCAGAATTACCTACTGGAAACAGGAGACTATTATTTTGATTAAAGTAGATACAAAAGGATAAACTTTTATTATTTGGGGCAATAATTTGCAGTTTGTCATAGCTTCCCAAAATAAAACTATCAAATAGTAATAATACCAAAATGGAAATAACTTTTAAGTAGGATAATTTCATTTATACAGAACTGTGTGCTGAAACAGTGGAATCTGAAAAAGTATTCTCTTCTGATTCTGTGTCTATTTAAAGGTAGAATATTCTATTAAACATGTTGTTAGGGCTGTCAGATGCAATGCATCTTCATTATTATTAATTTCAAAGGAGTTATTCTCTGTAACACAGTGACATCTGGAAGGAAAGAAATAAAATCAATTTGCAGTAGTTGAAAATCCGTTATTGTAAAGTATATTTGTGAATAAATGACATCCTATTAAACAGGAGTGGTTTACTGAGTTCTGCTGCATTGACTGTGACTGAGAATTGTGTGCTGCGAGTGTGAAAATAGGTTGCTAAATGTAGGCTTTGTATAATTTCAGTAATCAAGATTAACTCATTTCTACTCAGCTTACATTTTAAATACTAGCAATATAGAATTGGGTAAAATGCTTATTTGTGTTTTAATTTTGTTTTATATGGTTCCTGTTTAATATTTCCTGAATATACTCCCATCTGGTAGGACTGTGAGTTTGCTGAAAGTAAGGCAAATGTTCCTACGTGTGCTCTATTAATGCAAAGAAACCTAAAACCTTTCAGAAAGATCCCAGCATCCAGAGAACCTCAAAGATTCCTCTAGATAGCAAAGAGTTCAGAAACTGGAGGGTTAATGCAAAACTGATAGCAAAAATAAGCATTCATGATTGACTGTCTAACTCAAGAAGGCAGCACTTAAGGCATATCAAGGATAAGAGGGTTCTGAGGGGCAGTCAACATGGCTTCACCAAGGGGAAGTCATGCTTGACCAATCTCGTAGCCTTTTATGAGGAAACAACAGGGTGGATGGATGATGGCAGAGCGGTGGATGTGGTCTACCTTGACTTCAGCAAAGCGTTTGACACAGTCTCCCACAGCATCCTTGCAGCTAAATTGAGGAAGTGTGGTCTGGATGATCGGGTAGTGAGGTGGACTGTGAACTGGCTGAAGGAGAGAAGCCAGAGAGTTGTAGTCTATGGGGCGGAGTCTAGTTGGAGGCCTGTATCTAGTGGAGTGCCTCAAGGGTCGGTACTGGGACCAGTATTATTTAATATATTCATCAATGATTTAGATGAGGGAATTGAGTGTACTATCAGCAAGTTTGCTGATGACACTAAGCTGGGAGGGGTGGCTGACACGCCAGAAGGCTGTGCTGCCATTCAGCGAGACCTGGACAGGCTGGAGAGTTGGGCGGGGAATAACTTGATGAAATATAACAAGGGAAAGTGTAGAGTCCTGCATCTGGGCAGGAACAACCCCAGGTTCCAGTATAGGTTGGGGAACAACCTGTTAGAGAGCAGTGTAGGGGAGAGGGACCTGGGGGTCCTAGTGGACGACAGGGTGACCATGAGCTGACACTGTGCCCTTGTGGCCAAGAAGGCCAATGGCATCCTGGGGTGTATTAGAAGGGGGGTGGTTAGTAGGTCGAGAGAGGTCCTCCTTCCCCTCTACTCTGCCCTGGTGAGACCTCATCTGGAATATTGTGTCCAGTTCTGGGCCCCTCAGTTTAAGAAGGACAGGGACCTGCTGGAGAGAGTCCAGCGCAGGGCAACTAAGATGATTAAGGGAGTGGAGCATCTCCCTTATGAGGAAAGACTGAGGGAGCTGGGTCTCTATAGTTTGGAGGAGACTGAGGGGTGACCTTATTAGTGTATATAAATATATACAGGGGGAGTGTCACGAGGATGGAGCAGGCTCTTCTCAGTGGCAAACAATAATAGGACAAGGGGCAATGGGTACAAACTGGAACACAAGAGGTTCCACTTAAACTTGAGAAGAAACTTCTCAGTGAGGGTGACAACACTGGAACAGGCTGCCCAGGGAGGTTGTGGAGTCTCCTTTTCTGGAGACATTCAAAACCCGCCTGGACACGTTCCTGTGTAACCTTATCTAGGTGTTCCTGCTCCGGCAGGGGGATTGGACTAGATGATCTTTTGAGGTCACTTCCAATCTCTAGCATACTGTGATACTGTGATTTGTCTTCAGTCTTCTGAAACAAGGGCTATGCTGACATGCACTATGTTGAGTGCATAGAGAACCTAGATTTGCTTTAGAAGGACTGATTGATTGAGTCCCTGAAGTTCAGATACAAGTTAGGTGAGCAAGTTGAAAGCTATGCCTGTCTTGTTCTTTCTTTGTAAGAGTTAAAACAGAGGTTCACTGTAACAAAAGATAGCCTGTAGGATCCTTGCAAGTACGGAATAGTTGTTACGTTGCAATTCACAGGATCCCAGAATGGCTGAGGTTGGAAACCACCTCTGGAGATTCATCTGGTCCAAAGTCCCTGCTCAAGCTGGACCATGTCCAATCACCTTTTGGCCATCTCCAAGGAGAGAGATCCTGATTTCATGTAAAATCAGGTTTTGAAGGGAATTTCTTCTGCAGACACTGAAACAAGATTTCCAGAGTGGCCAGAGTAGTTAATACTTGGACATTAGGCTAAACTGAACTTTCTTTAAAGTTTGTGGATAGGAGTTAAGTACTGAGGAAAATCACTGGCCTATGGTTAAGTGGTAATTTTTTTATTGATATTATATGTTGATCTCAGAAGAGGTCAAGCCAAAAGCAAACCCTCAATGAGTGTCTTCTGTACCACTGAAGAGGGGACAAAGTTGTGGTAAGTCAGCTTGGGTAGCTATAGTGTTAGGAACACATTTGTAAAGAGCCCTTCCAAAAACCTTTTGACATAGTTTAATCAACCTCAATCCTGTAAAACTAATGTTTTGTTTTATTAAACAGCAAAGATTATTCTAGTTTGACCACAACTTCTTCAACTAAAAGAAACAAAGCAACCAAAAAAAAAAAAAAATCCAGACTTGAAGCGGTGCTTCAGATTTGTAGACTACCTGATTGTTACATATTTCCCTGCTACTGTATGAAATCTGGACTGATGGAACATTGTTCTTCACTGTAAAATACTGAGTTGCTGTCACTGTGCATCAACAATAACAATCCGTCTTCAAAATTATTTATCTTCCTCTGGTGATATAGAAATAATACTAGAGAACATTTTCATAGTCTTAATTGCCGCCAACTTTGAAAATAAACTTGTTAAACGAATCTCAGTGCTCATTTTTTCAGTAACTTTTTTTCCCATCTAATGTCT